AACTGCTGGTGCAGTGGAAGCACTTCCCAAAGTCCCACAGTGAATGGGTAAGCAGAGCCCATGTGAAAGCGCCAAAACTAGTGCAGGACTTTTACGATCAGCACACCGGGAAGCCTAAGTAAGGGGGGGTCTGTTTTCAGGGGGGCGGTATGTCAGGTTCACCCAGCATGGCGCTGCTAGGAAAACCAGCCAGCCGCGCTGAGCCAATTCTACCGCCCGCTCACAAGCCAGGGAAAAAGGAAGTGCGAGCCGCGGCTGATTAATGGGCCACCTGCGCCTGCTTAGCAGGAAACCACAGAGTGGACGTTTTATATCCATCCTGATAAGCGGCGTGCGCCGAGACAAAGAACAAAGCCGCGAGCCGCGGAAAGGAGATCACCGCGCGATCAAGCGAACCCCGGTTCTGTGCACAACTGAAAGGACCCCAAGGGAACAAGCCCACGCCGGAGGGGCAGTTAATCAAGGGACAATGGGACACTGGCTGAACCTGCCATCTGGACCATTAAGGGGGATTATTGGGGCATCGACAAGCCGCAACATGTAACTCGACGACGGGGCGAAACACGGGAAGGGGAGAGCTATAAATTGTAACCCGAAATGTGCCAAGCCAGTCCTGGCTTTGTTTGTAACTGTTGAGTTATGCTTGAGTAAACCTCTTTTGTAAACCACACGTGTCACAGGAGTTTCTCTTGACAAACGGGGCATTCCTTACATTAGCCCTTCGTTTTTAACCTCCGTCCCAGCACACTCAGCCCATCGGACTTTTGGGCAGATCTTTGTCAATCTCAGCAGTGCAAATAGGCCAAATGCATTGTGATCAGGCCTGGCCTTCCTTACATTTGTGGTCTCAAAAAAGACCACCCGTTTCCTTCCTCTTCCACCCTACCCGCATTTTTCCACCCCAGGAGCTCCGGCACAGCTGAGGACTTGCATTTCTCTGGCCGGTTAGAAGCTCCAGCTGTGTCCTGCTAGCTCTTCCCCCTTGGAAGGGGGCCCATGGGGGCCCAGCCCAGCTCTCTCCAGGCTTGACTCTCCGGGGGGGGTAGGCTGGGCTGGACCAGGCCAAGGGGGTCCCATCATGGGGTCGCAGGAAGAGAGAGGCGGGTTTGCTTTGGGGCTGGGATCTCCA